GTTTAAAAATTGAGACTATAACTTAAAAAAAAAATAATAATGATTTTAATTCGAAAATAAAAAATATGAATACAAAGAAAAGATAATATTTTTATTGCATTTTTTTTATTTTTGCAAAAATAACAGTAAAAAGATTCCTGAGAAATCTTGAATGAAAGAAACATTGCAAACATTTTTTTAGAATTAGAATTGTAAAGATGATTTAAAATATTTAGTAATAAAAGTTTTATTTTTACAAATGACAAATATTCTGATACTATTATTAAAATTATTAAAAATCAAATTTCCAATTTTTAAATTCACATTATACTACATAGATTAGAAATATCAAAATCTAAACTGAGAAAAAAAATACATCTATTATTATGTTTATCATCTAAATTTTAATTATAATTCTTTACCTAATATATATTATTTTTGTTTATGAATAACGTTATCAAGAATTGTTTTTTATCATTTTTAATAGGATATGTTATATGTTAGTTGTTTTTAAGATAAAAACTGGTCAAATGATAGGGATTTAATGACAAGAAATAAAATGACGTGTAATTTAATGTATTTGAATATAATTTAATATAATAATTTCAATTTAAAAAAAATATAAATATTTAAATATGATACATTTATTTATTATAAGTAATAGAATTTCAATTATTCGTTCAAAGAATTTGAAAAAAGAAAAAATTGAAAAATTAAATTTTAAGAAAAAGTTCTTTTACTCAATATTTACTTATTTAACTTTATCTTAATTCATAAAACATTAAAAGTAAAAAATTTAAGAGTTACATTAGATAAATTTACAACATTTATATTTATGTATCATTTTTTACGTGAAATATCTTAATTACAGATATTCCAAGATTATCTAAAACAAAAAAAATTTCATATTCCTATCCTCTCTTCGAATAATGCTTATAACATGATGAAATTCACAATTTTAATGCAATTATATTTTCTAATTTATAATTTAAGTGAATATGCCCACTTTTTTTTATATAATATACTATACAACGATGCATTTGTTGAATGCTTTATCATGTAAAACGCACTACATTTGCGATACAATCACATACGAACGGACAACTGACGGTGAATAGAAGGAACAATAGTTAATTACCATTACTGGACACGAGTGTCTCAGGCCAGTTTACAACAGCACTAGTCGCTGGAAAATCAATATCCAAGTATATGTGCTAGTATTATTTGAGAGAAGCGACCGGTCTCCCTTCCATAATGCTTTTCTTCAACATATGGTATATGTGCGCGAACGATTTGCGTTAAAAAGATCGTTTTACGCGATTGAATGCTTTCCTATCGCGAATCATTTATAAAATTTTATTAAATTTCCGCGAACAGCCATATGGCTTCAGTGGCCCAATATTTCTCACGAACGCTTTTTTTTTTAATAGACAAATCAGTTGCAACTTGTCTTTCCTCATAATTATATAATAATATATTTTTGTAGCAATTCGAAATAATTGATTTTTTTTTATCAATTAGAATCCTTGAAAAATTCTGTAATTCATATTTTTTTATTTTTATGTTTGTTTATATTATAATGTTGTTAGAATGTTTCTGTTGAATTTAACGAGAGTTATAAAAAAATAAAGATTTTGTGTTTAATGTTGCTATATTTAGAATATAGTTTCTATTTTAATATTAATATACGAAAAATAAAGACGATATTTTTATTAAAAAAAAAAAAAAGTTATAACAACATATTCACATAGATTATGGCAAAAGTAATATTTATTATGATTACTTTATTAAAAAGTGAAAAAAAAAAAAACTAAACTAATATATGAAAATGCAGTATTCGAATATTTTATATAATTTTTTAATGATTTTTAACTTTTTTTAATATCTATCAATTGCTAATAAATTGAAACTAATAATAATAATAATAACTTGCTAATAATAAGATATAAAAAAATTACTAAAGATATTTAAATTTTATATTATTGTATTAAATAATAATTAAATATTTAAATATTCAATTTATTTTTAATTTGTTTTGTATATTAAGAATTAACATCAAAGAAGTACTGAACTTACTGAAGTATTCAAATGACTTGACATGCCTAAATAATAAAGTAAAATTAATTGAATTTTATTAATTCCTTAATGTTAATTCCTTAATGCTCATGTTAAATATTGAAAATATATGAATATAATAAATGAACTCACCATTTAATTTATATATTTTTTCCTATTAATCTTTATGAATTCAAAAATTGCAACATCTTATATTAAAATTTATATATAACTTATGAAAGAAACACAAAGTTTATTTTTACTGTTAATTTTAGTTTATTATAAAAAAATTTAATTTTTTAATCTTTAGAAAAATTAAGAACAAAATTTGAATAAATAAAATTTGAAAACTTACCTTAATTTTAGCAAACAAATTAAAAATTTTTATTAATCTATAAATTACTTCCATTTATTATAATTAAACTTTATTGAAAGATATTTATTTTTATCTACTAAAATTCAATTTTATTTAAATTATATATTCTTTTTTGCTTCTTTATTTCTCTCATTTATTTCTATTGATATGAATAAATTTTGAAAAATTTCTTAAATAAATAATTGTAAATAAAAATAACTATAGCGCCTCAGAAATTATTTTATGATCCATAAGTTGCGAAACACTGCAGCAGACGAAGAATCTACTAACGCGGAATGCATGCCAACAAATCTTCATTTTGTAAGAATAAATAACATAAAATAAAAGATAATAAATATTTACATATTTATTTTATAAGAGATTATATCTCATAAAAAGAAATAGGTATGAAATAGATATAATAAATATAATAAAGATTTTTATTTCTTCTAATAAGATTTGAAATAAAATTTTTTTTTTAAATAATGATTATATAAAGAAATAATATTTCTTGCATACATTTTAATAAAAATTCATACAAATATTATTTTGAAATAATTATTTCGTTGAAATATAAAAAAATAGTATTTTAAATAATATAATATTGTAATATTTCGAATAAATTTTTAGCTTTGATATTATTGCAATACGATATATTAAAATCATATTATTGTATAAAATGTAAATATAACATATAATAATTCAATATATTTTCAAAAGTTAAAGGATAAAAAATGAAAAATAAATGTTTTTTATATAAATAACATTTGAATATTAAATCATATCTTCAAATGATATTTATTTATAAAAATATTTATGAAATATTTATTTATGAAAATATAATTTTCTTTATATTTATCATTTCAAATTTTTTCCAATTTTGTAGAAAAGATTTAGCAAAATGCAGAATATTCTATTAAATTTAAAAAACTATAAGTAATCAAATATGAAATTTCAGCACATGGCTTATGCTTTATCAAATTTATTTTATTCGTTCTATGACACAACATCTATATAGAATTGGAATTTTCGAAACTCTTTAAAATTAAAATTTTAAATCCTAAAACTTCGGAATTTTTTATTAATTTTATGATTTGGAACTCGCGAAACATAATAAAACTGTATAAAATGATTTATAACAATATTATAACGATATAAATATTTTTATTTAATTAACAATAATCTAATTAAATTTATATTTACATTTAAACTCATTTTAATTAGTATCATTTCGCCAATTATATTAATTAAATTAATTACTAATTAATTAAACATCGTAATTATATATAGTAAAAAATTTTTCGGAAATCAAAAAAATAATTATTTTGAATTAATTATCTTCCTTTTCTCTTATCTTCATTTTAATAATTATTATTTGAAATAAAATTGTGAAAAAGTTAGCTTGTCTTTAATTTCAATAATTTTTAAATATGTTATAAAAACATTTTGAAAAATTTTTCTTTTACATAGTCGACCTTAATTTTTAAAATATTTGTAAAAAATTAGTAACTACTATTACGAGAATTTCATCATTCATATATATTTACATGTCTAGAATAAATTATGTTAAGTATACCACTATTATTTATCTTTTAATATAAATACATCGCAATACATATAACGAGTAAATTGACCAAAAAATTGAATCTTAACTTGAAATATTCATATTGGCAGAAATCATCATATTGTTGTTAATATTTGTTTATAATGAGTTTAGGCATTTCAGATTCTGAATAAAATAATTCTTAAATAAAACAATTCTTGAACGATTAAGATTATGACTGAAATTGTGATAATAGCAATCAATCTCATATTTATTAGCATAATATTATTAACATGAATTGAATAAAATTATAATATATTAATTAATAAAGTTAATGATAGCAACATCAATCTCATAATTAATTTTCCTATTATATATATATATATACATTTATTATAAAGAAAATTTTAAAAAATTCTCGTTCAAATCCATAAAGAAGTTTTTTGAAAAGTTCCGTTATATATTATGTATAATACATATTGATTGTTATCTGATTGTTTATATAAACAATTAAGTGCATACACTATCAAAGATGCATATGTAAAGACAGAATTCAATTATATATTGCTAAAAATATTTTGAGAATAATTCAAAAATTAATATACAACTGATTATATATAAAGAAAAAAGTTTGTCTTTAATGATATTTCAAACTCATTATGGATTATTATAAAGAGAATAATCGATAGATTAATCCTTTTTTATTATACATAAATTATGGATTTTAGTTTAAAGAATGCCAGGAATTAAAATTTGTTAAAACTTTATTTATTTGACAAAAGAGATATTTCTCAAGAAAAAAAAAACATTTTTAATTTCGAAAATTTAGAGAAAACAAGACAACATTTATAAATTTATCTATAAAAATATCAGCAAGAATGGAAGAACAATATGTGAGCAAACATAAAACTGTCTATATATTTACAATCAAAAAGAAAACCAAGAACGGATTGCTTCGAGTATATAGGATTCTTCATAATCTATTTCACGGCCGATTCAACATTCGATTGATCTCTTAGACATAACTAAAACACGTCGAATTTTTCGTAACAGAACAGTGTTACCTACCTTGTTATTATCGATCCTTGTCTTTCCCATAAAAATTCCACTAGCATCGAATCAAAAGCAACTAATGTAAAAAAATATAATGTTAAATGGTGATAATATTGTTCATCAATGATGTTTTCAAGAATAATTGTGATAAGAGAAATACATGAATAGAATATTCAGTTTCAAAAATATGAGATGAAACGATGTATGGACGGTTCTGTTGAAATTCGAAATTCTATTGCCTGATATTCGTTGTTCGTCGTTCGAAGACACGTGGTTGGTCCGCACATAATGTTTCCAAAGTTCAAACAAATATTACACTTATCACAGAGAAAAACTTCACCAAAAATGATATCGAAAAGCACGAGCAAAAATATGACCGTATACAAGCTTCATTCGTTCACCGAATCACTGAAATCATGGCCGACTGTTTCTTCGATATGACTAGATTTGTATTTGTAACACCTGTCAGTATAAACCACTAAACAAGAAAAAATAATAATTTTTAACAAGTTTGAACTTGAAGGACACAACACCATATTAAGTATACACAAAAATAGCATGAAAAGCGTCATAAATTTTTCTTTAAATGTCACTTACAATATAATGTTACGACAGGAGCACAATTTCCATCCAAAACGATCGAATCTGTTATGGTTATTCTATATTCTATTCTGATTAACGCAATACCGAACGGTTGAATCGAGTTGGATCCTTTCAAACAGAAGGAAAGAGGAAGAGAGAAAGAGAGAAGTGAAGAGAGAAAAGGAAGGAGGAAAAAGTGGGGAAAAAACAAAAACGAAGTATGAAAGTATAAAATGGCGTAGCAACAAGGGCAAAAATGAAAGAAATAGAATGAGGAAAGGCAGGAGAGAAACAGGAAAAAGACAGTGCAAAAGCGAAAGAAAAGCAGACTACAAGCGAATGGATGAAAGCGATGTGATTCGTAAAAGAATCCAAGGTAAAGAAACGAAAAGACGTAACGCGTGTCAAGTGCCACGCACGACTGATCGTCCGTGGTAAGTTTGGGGCTGGCGCCTGCGCGATCTGACCTTCCCCCACTCTTTCATTTCTATCCTTCTCTTGTATATGTTTATCGTACTCGCTCGCGGTCGACGCACCCCCACCATTACGGCCATCCACCCTCCGAACAGGACGATTCGCGATATTCTCTTACCGCGTCGCGTCGCACCGGAGAGCGCTCCCTTGAACTGAAAACACGTTCACGCCGTGTTTATGACCGTTCTTTCTTTTCCTGTTTGATCGTACATAAATGTTTTTCGTTTCTTTTTTACATTCCAGGTCAGATAAGTCATACATTTTTTATTCTTTCTTAAAAATGACCAACGCGTATATAGAAACATAAATTTACAGAAATATATTTATTATAAACTCAAGACCAGCTGATAATATATAATTGTTAGGAATATAAAATTCTAACATCGCTTCACTTTTATCAAGAATTGATGATCGTACAGTATATCGGCAGCTAATGAACGACAAAGAGAGATTAAAAGCTGAAGCGCTTAAAGAAATTTTAAAATTTATGAAGTAATTATTCGCTTTATTGAATCCGTAAAAAGAGCTCGAGTATGTAAAACGAATATATATATACAAAATTTAAATCTTAGATGTAAGCACGTGTAATTATGTAATATATGTGTATACGCACAGTTATTACATTATTGGCAAAATAATACTGTCATTTTTAATATTATATAATATAATATTATTTCAATATACAAAATATTTAATTTTATATCTATACATGCATAATTTTAAAGAATTATTATAAAAAAAAATTAATCTTTAATTTTATTTGCATAAAATAAAAAATGAATATTATATATATATATATAAAAGATATTGAATATTTTCCACAAATAAGTTATTTCACAAAATTATTAATATATAACAAAGATAACTATTAATATTCAATATAATAAAAGTAAAATTGATTTCGTTACAAATTTAATATAAATTTATCGATTATTATTTTTGAGAAATTTTGGCAAATATCTTTTTTTTTTAATGATATACTTATTAAAATTTTACATATAACAAGCCGTCTGCAGCTGCCTTTGGCTTTGGTCGTCCAGGTGCAAGGGCTATTGCATTCCTAGCAGGAACAGCATTGAATATATACATAATTGAATATTTACGACTGATACTTATAGAGAAATCTCATTTTTACACGAAGTTGAAACTAATGATAAAATATGCTAGACGAAATACGTATATATACATTACAAATTTATTAACTTGTATCTTTATCACTCCTTGAAACGATATTACGATATTATATCGTTATCACTCTTATGAGACAAGACTATATTTCTATGCTGATATATGTTGATAAAAATAGCTTTAAGGCATGTATATGCGTGATAACATATTCTAAAAATCGATACTATATCTGCAATAAAAATTTTACAAAAATTAATCGTTTAAATAAAATGAAATTCTCATTTATATTTTCTTTTTTAATTTAGTTTGTTTTTTAATAGATTTTATTTAAAAAAAAAAAGTAATGAAATACATTAGAAAGATATTAAATATTTCTCGTTTACTGAAGAAAGAAAATACATAAGTAAAAAGGAAGTACGTAAATCACTTATTATACATTGATATGCGTAGAGATACATAGAGATATATTTTAAATGTGAAAACGTGAATGTTTAATAAAAAATATCATTTATCGCTTTTGATGATTGACAAAAAATACAAGCATAAAGACGAAATCATACAGTGAATTGTTAAATTACAAAATTAAAAAAATGAATTAATATAATCATGGGATACTTTGAAGGATCAATTCCAGAGGCCAAAACAAACATAAAAGTTAGTATACAAAAATTGAAGCGTATATATTAGATTACGATTACAATGAGAAAAATGAACACGAATGGAAAATATGTCGGATTATATTGCATGCAGATGTGTATATTGTTTTTTATATACATGTTATATAGGATCACATAACGTGACCATTTTAAATAACTCATACATGATGTAGAAGAAAACACAATTTGATGTTATTTATCCATAAATGGATATATGAAGGACACACGAAGGTCAGTTTTATTTTTAAATTATACTTTTTAATACATTAATGATATAAATAGTTATATATGGAATATGTAAAGTTATTATTAAACCATTTATAACAAGAAATTATTAATTTTGAATATATTTTAAATTAACTATTTAAAACGCATAAATACTTTTATGGCACAACTGATCAGAATATAACACTCGTGCAATAATCATATTTTGCTTGTTCCCGTGTTTTATATGCTTATATTATAGCTTGATAAATTATTGCTATCTTATCCATAACAATAATTCGTCTAGGGAGAAAATATTAAATACGTATATTATTATAGAAATTTATTTATATTTGTTAGAAATCACTCAAGATTTGATTTTTATATTCGTGAACTAATCGAAACTTAAATTGCTCATTTTCTCCCGGCTTTCTTCTTCTTCTTTCTTTTTTCTTAAAAAAATCTAAAAAGTTATTCTAAATATTAAAAAATCTTGAATTTTAATTTTAAGATTTTTTTAAAACTCAATTTTAAAAACAACCGATTTTTAACAATATTTACTATTTCATAATAAATAAAAAAAATTGAATTTTTACGTTTCATCTTTCCTCCACGTTTAATGTAATGTAAAAAAAAAAAAAATCATAATTAAAATGAATTTAAAATCTGCGCACATTTGTCAATTACAATGTTAATAATTAAATAAAAATACATTTACATTGTCACTCAACAAAATACTTATAAATTGTTTATCATTTATTTATCCGAGTTTCGAAAGAATTTTGTTTGCAAAAAAGAATAAAAAATTTATATGATAGAAAACTTGAAATTTTTCGAACATCTCGAATGATCTTTTTGATTCCCAAATATTTTGATACACAATCTTTCTTTTTTTTTTTTTTTTTTTTTTTTTTGACCGACTTACGTGTTCCCGCGAATTCGTGATATTAGCAGTATATGTCTATATGTCCCTGAAACTGGCTTACATGCGCTACAACATGTTAAAATACACGACTCTTAAGTATCATAGTTTCAAATTGCGCATCGGTTTCAAACAGTCTACATACACTGAAACGTAAATCCTTGCTCACTTGCTTGACCAGAACGATACAACCGATTCGTGTATCGGTGTAAGTCGTATTTGATACCGATACCAGTCCTCACATACACATATATGCAATATGCATCGTAAAATTTAAGCATCGTAAGTATCGATAGATGAATCGCAACATGTTTCTTTCCATATAAATATATATAAATCGTGTGAATTCTCTACAAGCCGATTTTTTCCTATCCAGACAAAGTGAATTGAAATTGTATCTATTAATTAAATAATCTATTAGTGTGAGAAATAAAAATATACAAATAAACGAATTTTTTATATTTATTGTTTTAATTACATGAGATATAATATGTTAAGTTTTAGCGGAAAAATGAAAAGATAAAAACTATATATATATGTAATGTTATAGAAAATTGAGAAAGAAATAAGAAATTTGTTTAACTAGTCGTTAAATCTATTAAATTCTCTCATCCACTTATTCGAAATCTTATTAATTCATTTATACATATGATTATACATGTATCATGCTGCATTTATATATAATACACGATAAAAGAAACTATATGAAGAAACAAACGCGTTTAGAGAAATGCAGTTGTGACACGTGCCAAATATCGGATTCTTGGATTAATCTCGTTTTTTCTTAAACTCAGCACGAGAGTGAGGTAAAACAGAGTCGAAATTAACACTCTGACGTGAAATACGATCAGAAATGCGAACTCAGAAACTGTTATTATTAATATACATATTGCTATTACTTTATACAATATACTATAATAGTAATATTGTACAATAGTATATTATTAACAGTCAGTTGTAAAATCTTTATACATTTTATGCAAACTCTACCAAACAAGTTTTCACATATTATCTATATTATCAAAATCAGAAAGAAAGATTTTAATTTCAATGAAACTTGAATATGTGTAATGAAGTTATGTATAAAATAATTTTTTTTTTTTTGATAAAATATTATTTTGAAAGAATGAAATTAAACTTCAACGTGCAACTTCAACGTTTTTATTATTAGAAATTCTTATTTTCATTTTCATTCTCTATCATAAATATAAAAATTGTGATTATGAGTGTAATACATTTTGAATTATTTAATATATTCATTTTTAATCCCGATTTATCCTAATATTTGATAAAATAGATAATCAAGAGAAACAGTTTCACGAGATTTGAATAACATTGAATAACATTTATTATATTCATCGTGTTTTTTTTAAATCTAAAAATCAGATCCTATAACTTGCTTTCAATATAAGATAAAGAAAAAAAAACAAAATCTTTGTTATTACATCGTGATATTTATTTTGAATTTCTACTTTTTGAGTTTTTATATTCATCTTTATTCCTTCACCCTTTTAATAACAATTCTTCTTACGAATGGAAAAAAAAAGAAACAAAAACAATGATCTGCAATTCATGAGAATGAGGAAATATCGGAAAATGAAAGAATATAGGGAGATGAGAAATGAAATTTTTTACTTTTTTCTAAGAGAAATTCATCTTCGTTCGCACCTTTTTTAGCGACAACCCCTACGGATGAAAGTTAAAACGGAAATAAATGACTTGCAACTCATAAAAATCAAGAAATATCGGGAAAGGAAAAAATATCGTGGGAGATGACAAAAAAAAAAGACGAAACGATAAAAGAAGAGAGAATGTGATTCTAAATATTCGTGCCGGTGCGTGGTTGGCCAGCCACCTTCCTGTTCCTAAAATAACCCCTTTGAACCGAGTTTCACCCTCATGAAAAGAAAAAGGAGAGGGAAGGGGGCGAAGTACGTCACACGCTGTCGGATATAGCACTGATATGGTAACCAACTACGTACACTATCGTAACTAAGTATTATGACC